AAAAGTGACTGCAACATATGGTGTGATATTTTAGTAATTTCACACAAATTTTCTTTTTTAATTGAATAACACTAAAAATAATCACTTAAGGAAAAGGACAAATATACAAACTGCAGATCACTAGAACTGTTCAGTCATTAAACGTAGCATCCTTTCCTCAATGCAATACGCTGCAAAAACTTCCAAAAACTCCCATGTTATTAACGGCCCTAATAATCCAGCTTTAACTCCAAGCACTCTTTCAGACTACTCTACTTTTAAAACATTCCTACACGACGAAAAGAATTTCATCTGAATCGATGAAACTGCTCACTTGTCTATCAACATGAGGCCAGTAAAATAGCATGGAAGCATGAGGATTCCTATCAATTTGCATTCCTTTGGCACTGTTATAGTGTGTATAGAAGCACAGACCTTCCCTGTCATACTCTTTCATTAAAACCATTCGTGACTTGGGTTGATTATTGATTACCTGAAAAATTCGCTTTTTTTTCAGTGATACAATCAAAGTATCACAAGGCATAAAAGGAATGCATTTATGGTTCAATGAAAACAGTTTAAAAGAAAAGCTTGAAATTCAAAAGTAAATAATGGAAAAAACTTCGCAATGAGGGAAGTAATGGATAAGAAATAGCTTAAAATAGCTTACGGTTGGAAAAAACAGACAATAAAAAAATATCTTATAAATTAAAAAGGAATCATCGAAAAATGCCTTACAGTTGAAAGGCAAACAGCATTAACTTCTTCGAATGTCACATTCTTATTTTTTGCAACGTTTCTGAACCATATATCAAAAAGTTCAAATGGATTCTTTGATGGTAAATTTTCTTCTAGCAGGAAAGGTTCTTCCTTGTTACAGTACGGTTTCCGTAAATCTGAAATAATGAATTTTTAACAAAAGCTTGAGCAAACGAAGGAAAAACAACTCAACTCATTAAAAAATTGACATATAACATAAAACGTCAACAATTCTCGGAAGTAATTGTAATATTAATAAATTTTTGAAATGTTTAACGTCAAAATTATTCAGATGTGTATAATGTCAAAACCAAAAAGTAATGTTAAAAATGAATTACTTGAGGACAATTAAAACTAAGAGTTATTAAGGATCTAAAATTTCGAGTTTTAACCAAAATAGAAAACAGGAAGGTTACTTTTGATATCAACACCGAATTTCTCGAAATTTCCATCCGACATCACCGTTTTGAAAACTGCATAAAATAAATTGTTCAGAACATTAGGCGATGGCGCTGCAAACTGGAAACGACGAAGTAATAGAAATTTGGAAAAATAATTCAGCAGCAATGGCCCTTGAATAGGCATTGCTAAAATAAATCCCATTTACGCGTCAAATGTCACTTAAGTCCACTAACTCCATTAATATAGTTGAAAAACGAATCGCCTTCCAATATAATAAAAAAAAACTGAAATTTCTCGTTTCACATCTTTTTCCTTTTCTTTTTTTTTCGGATTTTCAACGTTCATTCTCTTAAAAATATTTCGCACAATAATAAATTATACAACCTTCGTTAGGTTAATCCATAAAAGAAAATTAGACTACTTATTTACCGTGAGTGTGTGTGTGTGTGTGTGTATGTGTGTGTGTGTATGTGTATGTGTGTAGTAGTGTGTATGCGTGTGTGTGTGTGTGTGTGTGTATGTATGTGTGTGTGTGTGCGTGTGTGTGTCAACGCGTACGCATCCATCTTATGCATTTATCCATATGCGTGTGTGAAAACGTAAAGAAACATGTACATAGCTCAACTACTCTCAAATAAATGATGACCAAACGAACGTAGAGATCGTAAAATCATTACAATCGGGGAAATGGATATATTTCCAATTATTTAAAATAAAATTTAATATCGGAACTCGAGAAAGTTTAGAAATATGCAAATTCGACTTTAAGGAAACCCAGAAATTTAAGCTCCAAACAAATAATAAACAATTTAATGATTGATTTATCAAATCTCTCTACCATCTTGCTGTGCAACTACGCTTTTGAAATTGTGGACGTCTCACTCACTTGTCGTACGATTGATTTATTACTTATTTTTTTGAGGAGAATTGCTTTCACAATTAATAATGCTGAACAGAATGCCGTAAGCCACGTCCGCCACGTAAGTGTAACATAAAAGCTTCATTACTTCAGTGACACGTTTCCAATGTTCCCATCACTTATGTTGCGTATGATTGTTTATTCCTTCGGACATTTTTATCATTTCTAATAGAAATGAATAGCTACAGCTCTTTTCCAGTGAAATATCTATATAGTTCATTTTGAAGAATAC